AACAATCGGACAAAGGTGTCACAGTCGGCCTTGAAGCAAAGAGTAAACAGAATCAGCTGAAGCGCGGATATGGCCTAACGTTTCTAGTTTACCAAATGGCTGGCCTGACTTAATTAGTTCATCTGATATTTGGCAAACTGTGGCGCTTGCCCGAAGCGCGAGAGCGGAAAAAAGATGCGAGAGCAATTAAAGTGAATCTATCAAAATGACATCATGACCCGTTGACCGAGTGGAATTTTCTGCATTAATACAATACAATAAAAGAGTGAAAAAACAAAGCCAGACTGAACTCTGTATGTGTATGTGTGCATGTGTGTGCTTGTGTGTGTTTGCCTGTGTGAAAAGTGCCAGCAAATTAAGCAAGCATCCAAATAGTTAAAAACATTTTGCGAGAGGCGGCAGACAGATGACGACGAACGACAGAGGACAGACGACGGATAAAGCAGACGGCAGACAGCAGAGAGGCGCAGGCAATACGATTCCCTAGCATTGGTTGGGGGTTGGGGCTGGGCGTTAGTGTGAACTGAATAGTAATTTACTTGATTTAAATACAAGCGTGCGTTCCTGCAAATAATTCGCAATTGAATTTAATTGCATTACTCACAGTTGTCAACAAAATGCCAACCATTCAATTCGATTGAATGCAATTGAAATTTATTTCAACAGTTTGCAGTTTGCAGCATTCAGTTCGCAGTTCGCAGTTCGCCTGATGCTGTTTTTGTTGCGCTCCTCTTTGATGTCACACTTCACGTTCACACTTTGAAGGAATGGAATTATTTAAAGCGCGGCGCGTAAATTAAATTTCAATTTAATACAGATACGTTACATCGCATCGAGTGTGCATGTGCAGGCGGACGGACAGACGAACGGACCCGCGGACTAACGGACGGACGCACGACTGGGGTCCTCTGCTCCGTTCATCCCGTTCGCATGTGCATTTAAGGTCGTGCACACTCATCGGCCAGCCATAAAGTCCCTTTTTAATGAATGTGAGAGCCCCGTTGCTTTGTTGCACTGTTGCAGAGTTTCGCTGCGAACCGCCCAGCCGTTGCAATTAAGGCTAACCATGCGAATAGCATCCCACGCCACTCTCCAGCCGCCCATGGAGACCACCCACGAGCGCGAAGCGATGTGTGTGGGTGTGTGTGAGTGTGTGGTGTATGATAAATTAATAATTTCGACAATTTAATTTTAAATGCGTGTGGACTGGCGTGTGGCAGCCGATGCGAGGGATCGTAAGCGATACAAAAAACACGTACAACGGTGAGTGTGAATGCTGGCTAACTGTTCCTATGAGCGATATATGCAGTGCAAGAAAAATCGCGCTTACAACCTGTTCAACCTGCTCAACTTACGTCTTTGCTCCAGTGGACAATGTAAGGTATGGGCGAGTCGTATGGGAAATCTATATAGCAATTGAAAACAACATGCGAGCCGACTTTGGCCTCCAGATTTGTTTGTTTACGATGATCGCGCGCGCACGCCACACAGGATGTGTTCATTAAGAGCGCCAGCAGCAGTAACAGCAGCAGCAGCAGCTGCTTACCTCCTCTTACGACATTGACAGTCGACATCCCATGGCAGTTCGCCTCCGCCTCCGCCTCCGCCTCGGCCACGAGGCCCGATCGTATTTCCTTGTTCTCCTTTGGCATTTTGCAGAACACACGTATATTTGTATTAGGGGTAGCTTAGCTTCGCACTCTGCACTGGCTAACAACTAGTGGCGGCATGGCTTTCTGCTGCCAAGCCACAGCATTTCCTTGGCGCTGTCTAATTGAAACGCAGTTGAACAGAAAACAGGTCAATTGAGTCTACGCACGCCGTTCCTTCACTCTTCACTCTTCACTCTGCACGCTTCACTCTTCCCTCGTCACTCGTCACTCTTCACTCAAGCACAACGTATTATGTATTATGGCAGCTCGTCTGCTCGTAATGTGATCCGCGCGGCGCTTAATCTGCGCAATAAGTCGGAATTTAGACAAGGGCTCTGCGCTCTCGTCAACTGAACGCGACGACTGGAGAAGCTCGACTGAAACTGAACAAATAGGAAAACAAAACAAAGCGCGATCAGAAGGCAGAGCATTCTGTTCTGTTACGCGCGACGATGATTTTGTCAACATACCTACACACATATACACATACACACATATACATATATACCCATCTACGTATGTGCTCACATTTACAACTGAGCCACTGTTGGCGCTACACACATACACACACACACACACACACACACACACACACACACACACACACACA